GTTATTATATTACCAGTGGAATGATCAAGCGAACACGTCAACGGTCTACAAATGAAAGAAGGAAGGTTGATAATCTGCAAATGTGTAGTAACTAAATTCCGAGTGCCGCGAGTGCACCAGATCAAGAGTGACATTACTTCATTACTCATCACTTCATAGACCCCAATAAAATTAGACCCTCCGAGATTTAGTAAACTGACCACCGGCATCCTTTGGAGACCCGTAAACTGTAGGCATAGTTTTGTAATAGAATACATCTCCACGATTCAGCACGCTATTGTTATGCACGCCGTAGTCCTGTCCTGGTTCACGTACACCGCCGTGTTGTATTTCACAAACAATAAAGTGAGAACAACAAAAGTTTTTAAAGAAACTTATTAGAAATTAACGATGACACTTGATAGCGGCATACAACTGAATAAAAGTTATGAATAAATGAGGCAGTCATGTAACACGAGACATCGGGAAGTTTAAGAACAACCTTCGCGCTCGCCTAATTTTGTTTCATCTTAAATTAATTGTTGTTTGCAATTATATCCTGGGGGATGCCCTATGATATGGTTAGTAGAGAGTTTCCCCTTTTTTCCTATAAAATTTTCACGCGGAAAACTTCTCGGCGCCTGATACTTGCATGAATTTTCCAACAGAGCAGTTCTGGGCATCTGAGAAAAATCACGGAGTCGTTATACGTTACTTTGAAGTGACTACAACGCTCTAGATGATAACACGGGCGGATCTGCATCCGAGCCCAATAAATAACCAAATAAGTAAATACATACATTTATTATTATACAATTTAGAATATATTTATACATTTGGTTTAGAAATTATTTTTGTAGCATTTTTACTACGTTTATTTTGACTGAAACTCATTAATTTCGCAAGAAGGTGCTTGAGATGCCTGCTAATAAAATTTTCTCTTCTTCCCAATACACAAAAGCTCCTAAATGTAGTGATTTTTGTTTAAACTTTAACTTTGTGTAGTCTCTTGTCTGTCACCCCTTTTTCGACATGTTTTGTTTTACTATGTTTTAATTTGTTTATGTTCATTTTATCCCTAACGACCCCACAATTCTATATATTATCTCCTATATTATCCACCGTACACTAAAATAATGGGAGTGGTGAAACTACTGACGTGAGCCCCAATGTAAACACGCATGTGGTAACTTGGAAAATAGCTTCCAAAAATGTTATACCTAGAAGAAAATTGTCTAAGGAAACCAAGGGTGTCAATCTTGTGAAATTCAATGGACAGTGTCCTAAGCTAGATGCGTTCCTAAAATTATTTCCTATAACGACATGTTTACACATATTGCTGATAGTACTAATAAACGTATAAAGCAATTAAAAAGAAAAAAGAATTTGAAACTTAACTGTATGAAATTATGATAGTACTTGGGTACACCCTTGTAATGTTTTATAATAGGGTGCCTAGTTTTTATCATTTCTGGTCCAACAATGAGTAATTCGCAAATAGTATAATAAAAATCGCTATTGGTAGAGATCGATGTACTTTCCTACTTTCAAAAATGCATAATCCTGACCCAACAAAACCTTAAAATTGTTCTAAAACATACTATTTAGAAGACGTCGTAAACTGTTTAAAAACAAGATTTCAAAAGGCAAGATCCGAATTTTCTTACCAATCCATTGATGAGACGATGGTAAAATTTAAAGGGCGATCATCCCTCAAACAATACATACCTAACAAACCAATCACAAGAGGTATCAAATTATGGCAACGATGCGATTCCATGACTGGTTACATATACGACTTTAACATCTACTCCAGTAAGGAAATCGCAGCACTAGAGGGGACTCTTGGAGAGAAGGTGGTAGCGACACTATGTCAAACACTTCAATCAAAAGACGATTTATTAATAATAAGCTATGTAGAGGTGAATCTGATGTATTGGTAATTGATAAAGGCGTAATGGCAGTTAGATGGCAGGAAACTTTTATCAAACTGCCACTCGCCACCTTTATCACAGATTGAAATAAACCTAAAAACAAGCGAAAAATACCCTTTTGATTGTCCTGAAGCTATAGTATATAGAAGGGGTTGATTTGGCTGATCAAAAGATTACCACCTATGATTTAGACAGAAAATCTACTAAATGGTGTCGTAAAGTTTTCTACAAATTGTTAATGGCATATGTAATCAATTCATGAATAATATTTTCGGAAATTCAGACTAAAAGGAAGCAAATTTCGTTTCTTCATTATTTAGTACATGTAGCTGAGCAGTTGTTAAGTTTGGGGAGATCCAAAGCCAAAATTAAAAGAAGAGTCTTACGTCATCCAGGTAGGCACACAAAAATGCAAAAAATTATGACAAATATTGGGGATCTTTCCAAAACAAACTAGCAGTAAAAAAAGATGTTACAGTTGTTCTCAAAAGAAGAAGAGAAGCAGTACAAAAACTTTATGTGTTAGATGCAATGTCCCATTGTGCAAAATGTGTTTTTTAACACTCCACTTATAAGTTGGTTTCAATTATACCTTATTTTTTAATAAATTTTTTTGTAATTGCTCTTTTTATTACTGATGGGACCTTAAAGTCCCAGTCAAAACTACTGTTGGAGCCAAAAGTTCCCACCTCCTTAGAACGGACAAATGTTAAGTTTACGACTAATTTGTTTGAATTAATTATTCTGAATTGAATATAAAACTGAATAGTTTCAGTCTCTTACATGTAAAATTAAATTCAGTGGTGAAAGGATTAAATTGATTATGGTACAGGGCGTTATTAAACAGACGATTTTATATTGTTTTTAATTGGATGGAATAATATTTATGACTTTTCAGATTTCGAATGAATTTTGACGTTCGAGAATCGTTTCGAATCGAATTTTAGCATCTTATTTTTTTGTTTGTTTTACTATATTTTATTGACAAATATACTTTTAATTTTTTACTTTTTATTTAATAACTGTATTTTGTTAGTTATTTTTCTTATAGTTTTTTATTTAAACATGCTTGGTGTAAATATATGATGAATAGAAACGAATTGATCGAGAATAATGCAATAGATGTGAAGACCCGCTTTTCCATGGAGAAAAAATATTATATTATTATTATTATATATATATATATATATATATATATATATATATATATTTCTATATATATATATATATATTTATATTTTATATATTATATATATAGATATATATATCTATTATATTTATATATATTATATAGTATATAAATTTTATATATATATTTATAAGTATATTTATATATATTCTATTATATATTTATATAAATTATATTATATTTATATTATATTGTTATGCGGGGGGGGGTCTATTTTAAATTGTATTCTAGTGCTTATTTAGGAAAAGATCCTGTCTATATTTATTAAATGATCTTATCTCCTCACTTATCACAATAAATCGCATTAATTAATTTACATTCTCGGCTTATTTAACTTGATATATTTACCTTTGATCGTGGATTCTAAAATATTTTCCAATTGTGCCTTTCCATTGGGATAGGTAATAGGACCTCCCTCCCCCGAATTAAAATAACACAGAATTTCAAAATGAACAATATGGTGAGATGTCCTTTATTTTAATGAAAATTTGATTGACAATCAATGCTGTAAATATTTGCCATAATAATACTTTAAAATATATGACGAAGTTGTTTTCTATCATGGACCAAATGTTTTATTGGACATGATTTTTAATATGTTCTATAAACTAAGCTTCTTTATAATTTTTTCTTTAGAGCATGATCGCAAATTAACTGTCTCTATTATTTAGTCAATTTATTTAATTAATAAATGAAAACCACACTATGCTCTAATGAAAATTGATGACCTTTCGTTTCTCTGCGTTGTAATTCTAGGGCCACGCCATAACAAAAAGAACCTTTCCTCTGCTGCTCCTATTGTGGTCCAGCTGACGTACACCTTTCTCCTATCTGTCCTTGTATCTGCAACCCAACAACTCGTGCTATTCTATGCAGCCTCCTTTTGAGGCGAAATCTCCGCGCCTGTTTATAACTTCACATGTTTCCGGCTTCGTGGATATTAATTTCTTATACCCTTTCGGTTTATCTTTTCTCTCTGTATCCCACTCACTCACACTGATCAGTTTTCACAGCAAATAAAACACACACGGTAAATTACGTCTCGGGACTTCAACAAAACACAAACAAAAGCTCCTTCCTTCTTGGGCGACGCAAACTCTGACTAACCAACTTTTTTCCTCGCTCCTATCTCCATAGCTAAAACCACTATCTCCATTGCATTCAAAAATTGATCAATAAAAATCATCCACCTCTGTGAGAATATCGTTACAACCAACTCTCTTTATAAAACGTCATTCGGGTTAATTCCAGAAAAACAACATTCTTTATATTATTCTACTAAATCTATCTGCTTTACAAATATTTCTTAACTAATAGCGATACAAAACCGATACCTGTTTCTCACATTCAATGTCTTTTGTTAATAAAACTTTTACCGAATAATCTTTGGGGGAGAAAAAGGACCACGCAAATTTTCCCGGTCTTATTGTTTAAACAATGTCTATATACACTTTGTATTCTGTAAATCCAGGCACAATAACGACTTATTTAGATTTAGTAGCGAGAATATTGAAAAGTATTGTCTCTGAGCGCTAATGAAACAATTCTCTTCGAACAATACTTCTAAAATATCATTTATTGGTTGTATACAGGAATGTTGAAAATTTATATGCCTGTGTCTTTATGAAATATCAATAATTTTAATTTTTATTAAGTAATAAAATTTGTAATCGGTTTTTTTATTGCTAATGGGACATTCAACTGTCAACAATATTATAATATATATATAATATATATATATTATATATATATACGCCGAATAGAAGCTTCGTTTCAATTATAAAGTAAAAATAAAAACTTCATATAACTTGAATGTATAGTCTTGTAATGTTTATTCTTTGTAGTTATCGATCTTACATTTACAAATATTCGTATCTAAACTAAGTTTTTCTTTACAGGTAGACACAGATCTAGTTTTCGATGGCCGCGACAACCATCCCCGGCTACGACGAGAAGTAGATGTAATAGACAATGACTCTAGTCCGCCAGTGGAAGAACATTGGCTTACCAGTACTGTTAATAGGATAAAACGAAGCATCAATCATATATTTTCCAAGGATACTAATCCCGAAAAGTTAGACCATCACCACAAACAGACGAAGACGGTCCACCACAATGCAAAGGTGATCAGCAATCATCATCATAAAGGCAACACGTTAAGAAGGAAACATCGCCAAGCTGATGACGAATATAATAGTGCCGAAGAGAGTGAATACGATGTAAGTTTATTTGCTTTTATTTATAAATAGTACATATAGTTGTATGGTTCCTAGTCTAGCAAAATCTGAATGTTAATCATCATTTTAATACGAATTTAGAGAATCTAGATGTAGATAGAACTAATTGTCTTAAAAGTTAGTGAAAAGAAGTTAAAAAATGTTGAATCAATAAAATGCAAATATCATTTTTATGTAAGTAAATCTAAAACTTTAAAGATTAATTCAAAATAAAATAAAACGAAGATTTTTGAAACATACGGAACTAACATATTAAGAGCAAGCAAGCAGACAATTTGATTTAACCCATTTGAAGCTTGTGCACCCTTTAGAATGACAGTCGGGTGCATCAATTCATTGAAGCGAGGTGTACTAACTCGTTTAAACAGGAACCACTCCAACGCGATCCAATGCTCCACACTATTCCTTTCCCCCTATAGCACTCTGATGTGCGGTAGGGGCACAACTATCAGCCAAATGCTCTTCGTGTGGAAGTCCTGGGTACAAGAACTCCAACACAGATTCCTTCTTCTTAGGGTGCCTGTCCGTTCCGAACGTTGGCTATGATGACTTTGTTGGTTGCTATACAGAATAGCTGTGTTGAGGTCTTTCTATACCATGCTCTCAGGTTAGCAAGCTAGGATATTTTTCTTCATACTGGGGTCATTTTTCCTTCAATTTTACTCTGTAAAATGCATTGGAGTAGTTCATATCTGCATTTATCTCTCACTATAAGTCCCAAATGCTGCAGCTTACGGTCTTTCACGATGTTGACTAAGTCCGCGGTTGTATTCATCCTTCGTAGTACTTCTTCATTGGTGATTTTGTATGTCCACTTCATCTTCAGGATACTTCTGTAACACTATAGCTCAAAAGCCTGAAATTTTGATAGTTTCTGCCTTCAATGTCCACGTTTCTCCTCCGTACAGAAGCACTGAGTACACGTAACATATAAGAAGCCTTATTTTTGTTTCTAGAGTGAGGTCATGGCTCTTGAACACAGAGCTCACAGTCAAAAATGCACTTTTTACCTTTCCGATGTGATATTTAATCTCTTGGAGATTGCCCCACGACTCATTGATTATAGTTACCAAGTAGTTGTACCGTGAGACACTATGCATTCTCATTTGGTTCACATACAGATTTGCTCCAGTTGTGTTTTTGTTGCTGATGATTATTAGCTTGGTTTTGCTGGTGTTTATATCCAGTCCATATGTTTTACTTGTTTCCGTTATTTTGTTAATTAAGTTTTGCAACCCTTCTATGGTATTGGAAAACACTATTGTATCATTTGCATACCTTAGGATATTGAGCTGCAGGCTAGCGTAAGACGCTTTTATCTGTTATCTTTAAGTGATATATCATCGAACTAAAATTGCTTGCTTGGTTCTCAAGTCTTGGCTCCCGGCTACGCCTAGCTCGGCGACTCGGTGCTTGAGGATGTGGACCCTTCGTGCCCAGTAACATATTAAGATGACACCATTAACGATGCCTTTATTAGTTGTTTCTACCATTGACACTGAAATTCAAGCAGAAAGAGAAAAGGCATTTTCCAAAAAACTATATTTTATTAAAACAGACACTTAACTGGGTGTTGTATTATGAGGGTAATATAAAATGCCGCGTTTACAACTTAGATTTGATCAGAGTTTCAACAAACATACCATCCTTATAACACTTCATAAAATTTTCCACTCGATATTCTGAGTATTCTTCTATAAATATTTAAGTAATTTTAGTAAGGAACCTGACTGTGGCTGTGTATTGTACAGCACGAAAACAGTCATCTAAGTACATTAACCAATTAGAAGCCTTTTCCTTTTGTGTTCTTACTTATTTAGATTATGGAAATCCTTAAACGTATTTGGTACGCTATAGGAATAAAAAAAAATAAAGAAAAAGTTCTGGACATTAGCTGGCCATTACAAAAAGGGAGTATAGTACCTAGAAACGTGCCATGAGTTCGCTCTGAAGAAGCCAAGAGGCTGAAATATGCATATCAGCGAATGGCGGTACCGAGATCACACTCAAACCTTCTATTTTTTTTTTCGAAAATATTGTCTGTAGATGGACGCGTTCTTGATGTTTCACACATATTTTGCTGTAACATAAGAGCTGTGGAGGCCAATAATGAACTTAGATATAAATTCATATAAAAAGTAAATATGTATATATGAATGTCTACACCAAATATTTTAAATAATAAATTTTTTTGCAGGTCAAGATAGAATTGCCTGGTAAATGAACTTTCTTACAATATACCTACGCAAGTTTCTAACTATTTCACTAACTTTTAAGATGTATGTACAAAAAAGCCCCACGTTGATAAAACCAAAAAATAAATAAAAATACTTTAACAATAACGAATAAAATTCCGTTCAGGAATCTCCTCTCAGGAATACCACCTCCACATATTACTTATAGAGTAGTCGTAGAGCTTTTTCTTCTCTCTCTTTTTTTTTTCATTTATTTTTCAAATATATTTCACGACTAAATGTATTTTACTTTCAAAACATTTTCTTTGTGATAATATAAAATCTCTTTGTAGAATAGCTAAAGTAAAATCTGCTTGAACACTGTCGATAAATTTTTTAATAGTTCAGTCGCTTTTAATCGGTAAAGTGGTTGTTTAGTTCAAGCAGAATCCTTTTATTTTATGTTTCTAATATAAATGTTTATATAATAATGAATAAAACATTCATGGATAAGATTATCTAGATACTATTTTTTTGTCATATTATCATATATTGTCAATAATTGTTACTAAAAACTTCTAGCTATTTACTTCAGGATTACGTCTAAAATCTATAAAAAAAATGCGTAGACTACGTCATCAACGTGGATATTGAAACAAAAAAGAGAAACCGAATTTAAGGATAAACAATTCAGTACAATATGGGGAGAATATTATGGAAAAATGATATACCAGAAAAAAAAAACGCGTAACGGCACCCGACGGAAATGTTGATAATTTAAATATTGTTAATACCTAACTTCATTCTGACCGAACGCAACCCACTATACACATTCTGCACTACGTGTAGCCTAACTTGCACAACAATACCTAATCTAGCAAATATATTTATTAACTGCAAAATCTTGGAATGTATTTAATTCGTGGAACAATTTTGACATTGGTTTTCAATATCGATTTCAGTCCTTTCAGTAACGGTAAAGATAAAATTGGAGAAGGAAGACTTGAACATCATTAAAGTATACGGCCCAGAAAATAACAAGCCTCAAATAAAAAGGGAAGCGTTTTATGACCAATTACAACAAGCATTAAGCATTAATTAGAATTAAGCGAAAATATAGCGATGATGTCAAGAACGAAAATGAAGAATTGATAATAAACTTCTGCACGAATAACGAACTAAGAATAAACAACGCATTTTTTGACCACAAAGACCAACACAAATATATATTTAATAACAGCCGTGGACAAAAATCTATGATAGATTATGTTATAACCAACAGAGATATACATCCATCCAAAATAATCGACATAAGATGCCTTAATTCAGCAGATGTAGCTAGCGACCATACCCTAGTATTAAGTAAAATAAGAAGAATCCTGAAATACTTCCCACCCAAAAGAGCGGCGCCAACACAAACAAAAATCAAAATCAAAGGACTAAATACGGAATCCACGGAATACTTATACAGGAAAAGAATATCAGAAAAGATTGCTGAGAATAAAATGTTAGTAAATGATAACATCGAGAAAAGCTGGGATAACATCGGAACTCGAAAATACCATAATTGACACAGCAACAGAATCACTTGAAGAGAAAAAAGTAACGAACACTAACATATCAAAAAAGAAAACACTATGGTTTAGAGAGGAAGTGAAGACAAAAAGTGAAGAAAAGAAGAAAGGCTTTTTACAATACAGAACACAATAAACACAACAGGCGTAAAACCACTATAAACGAATCACATATGAAACGAATACTTAAGTTAGACAAATAAAAAGGGAACACTGGCAGAGTTTCTCAAAACAGATATAACACGATTTCTACGGAACACAAAAAAATATGGAGAATGATCAGAGGACAAAGAAAAGATATGAACGAACTAATACAAACGAAACACATTCATAAGGAAACACGGGTAGACTACTTTCGATCCCTATTTGCTAACGGTGACCATAATGAACCACCAACACCAGAGGTGACGACATACGAGGAAATAAATATTAAGGGGGAAGAGGTAAAGGAAGTATTAAGAAAATTGAAAAAGAGAAAATCACCAGGAGAGAACAGAATACCGAACGAACTGCTAAAGTACGGGGGACCAGATCTGATCAAACCAACTATTAAAACTAATTCAAAAAATAATAGAACAAAACAGAATTCATCAAGAATGGAGATCGAGCATCCTAATACCTCTCTTCAAAAAGAGAAACACATCGGACCTGGAAAATTTCAGAGGAATTAATTTAATTAATACAACACTACAATTAATAACCAAAGTGATAACAAATAAACTGAATGAAATTATCACACTAGTAGAAGAACAAGGTTTTAGGCCGAGAAGATCATACACCGACGCTATATTTATAATGAGGCAAATGCAAGAGGAATCGTTAAAATACAACAAACGGGTATAGCTATGTGTAAGAAGGCATTTGGCCGCCTCAAATTAAAAGACATTATCCACTTACTGGATGCAAGGGAGATACCTCTAGGAATAATCAAAACGATTGAAAACATCTACGAAAACAACATAATAAAAGTAAAAGTAGAAGAAGAACTAACCGACTCTATTGAAGTCCTCTATTGTTCAACCTTATTATGGATGAAATAATAAAAATAGTAAGAACTAAAACAGGATACAAAATGGGAGAAAAACAATATAAAATAATCTGCTATGCAGACGACGCAATACTACTATCTCAAAGTGAAGATTGTTTACAACGTATGTTGCACCAATTTAATATAACCGCCAGAAAATTCAACATGTTAAATTCCCCAAAAAAAATGCGTGATTACAACCGCAAATTTACTAAGATGTAAATTGGAGCTGGAAGGTCAGATAATAGAACAAGTGATGAAGTTTAAATATCTAGGAATCACATTATCTAGCTACGGAAAGCTCGAAACTGAAGTGGAAGATCAAGTGAATAGAGCGAACAGAGCAGCAGGCTGCCTGAATGAAACATTATGGAGAAATAAAAATATCGGGAAGAAACGAAAGGCAGAATTTACAAAACAGTCATCAGACCAATAATGGCATACGCGGCAGAAACAAGACCTGACACAGAGAGGACAAAAAGGATGTTAGAAACAGCAAAGATGAAAACGCTTGGAAAAATTTATAGTATGACACTCTGGGACAGAACTAGAAGTACAGATAAACGACGCGGATGTAAGGTGAAGAACATCAAGAACTGGGTAAGAAATAGAAGAGTAGAATGGAACGATCATATAAGCCGAATGACAACAAATAGAGTAGTAAAGATGACAAGAGACGGTTCCCCAATAGGAAGACGATCAGTAGGAAGACCACGAAAGCGGTGGAACGACTACTTACTGAAGGCACATTGAAAAACAAACAGAGTTATGTCTATATAAAAAGAAGAAGAAGAAGATTTCAGTACTCTACAAATAGTTTTTCATGACTTTTGATGTACAGTAATTAAGAACAGTTTATTAAGCAATGACTATCGGACAATTGTATTACTGAGGTATACATTGAAAACCTTCCTTAAAATCATACATAACAGAATCCACATGAAATTAGAACAAGAAATAAGTGATTCACAGAGGGGTTTTAAAAAGGGTCTAGGAACTAGAGAAGCATAATTCGGAGTCAATGTTCTGACACAACGATGTCTGGATATAAATCAGGACATATATGCTTGCTTCATAGATTTTAAAAAAGGTTTTGACAGAGTTCAACATGAAAAGCTTTTAAGTATTCTTAAGACCAAACACATAGATAGTAGAGATCTACAAATTATATCGAATCTGTATGAAAATCAGAGAGCAAGAATAAGAGTCGAAGGAGAACTGACAGAGGAAGTAAGTATACTTAGAGGAGTTCGACAGGGGTGCATACTTTCACCACTCTTATTCAAAGTCTACAGTGAAGTGATATTTCAAGAAGCTTTATTGGATATTGTGGAAGGTATTTTGGTCAACGGAAATAGCATTATTAATATTAGATATGCGGACGATACGGTCATATCTGCAAGTAACATGGAAGATCTGCAGTACATAATACAACATTTATACAATGCATGTGAAAGGTAAATGGATCTCAAGAAAACGAAATCTGAATGATATTCTCAAAAAAAACCACAAAATGTAGGTAACCTGATGATCAATAATACAACGATCGAAAGAGTAACAACATATAAATATTTAGGAATGTGGCTAACCGAAGATGGAGATCAAACAAAAAGAAATCAGATCTACTTAGAATAGAAATGGCAAAAAACACGTTCATAAAATTTAAGAACTTACTTTGCAACCGTAACCTTAATCTAGAGATCCGCACAAGAATGCTACGTTGTTACGTTTTTTCTACTTAACTATACGGCATGGAAGCGTGGACAATAAAACAGTCTGAAATTAAAAAATTAAACTCCTTTGAGATTTGGTGCTACAAGAGAATCCACAGAATATCGTGGACTGAAAAAGTAACTAATATAGAGGTGTTACAAAGAATGAAGAAAGAATGTGGAGTCATAAAAACTGTTAAAATTAGAAAGATTCAATATCTGCGTCATATAATGAGGGGCGAGAGCTACATACCCGGTACAGTACCCGGTATACCAAAATATTTGATAATCTTTTCCATGACTATAGTTTTATACTAATTTATTTGTTTAATTTTAGTTTATTCTTTATTTTAACAGCCCAGCCTTATATTGATGAAAAGTATTTAAACGCAATACTTGGTGAAAAATTCTTCAAATAATATTTTTTTTGGGTTTTTTATCGATTAGTACAGAGAAGTTACTATCTGAAAGTATAAATTAATTTTAAAATATAACACTACTGTTTTATAGTAAGTGTTTTTGTTGAGTTGCTGTTAAACTAAAGAAATATTAATAATCTTTTATTTCAGTTAGAAAATACGAGGTAAGCTTAATATATTTGCCAGTGGTAAGAGTTTAATGGCACAATATTATATTATGTCCGTTACCAACATACCATATAAATATTTTTATATGATATAGGGCCAAGATGATGGCCAAGACAGTCAGGAGGAACAATATGATATAGACGAGGATGGTGGCCAACAAAGTGCCGACGACGATTATGACGGACAGCAAACTGACGATGAAGAATATGACTCACAGCAAACTGACGACGATGATAATCAAGAACAAATCGGTGAACAACACGAAGGACAAGACGAACAAAACGGAGATAGTAACGGACAGAGTCATCACGATAATGGTAACCACAATAAAATCGATGGCACTAAGAATAAGAACGACGACGACGATGAGTTCGTCCCTCTTGAAATAGGGGAAGGGTCCGATGATGACGTAAGTTCAGCGATTAGCTAACTGACCAAGGCACATTTTTTATCAACATCACTGACAAACCATTTTGGCGACTTCGATCCATTTTTTACCATTGGTGAAGCATGCTGGAGCATAAATATGATGGAATTTTTTATTTTTTCCTGGAAAGTAATAATACTGGCCGTTGGAATTTTTATATAAAATGAATTTTCTTCTTTTTTATTTTGTTCTGTCTTTTGTGTCTTTAAAAGTAATTTCTGCAAACATGTTGAAAGTCTCGTTGTTAAAGCATATTAGAGACTTAGTGGAATATCATGAGTTCCTCAGTATATTTTCAATCGAGTTTTAATAATAAAAATGCTCCTGGGGAATTTTCCTCTAGACTTTGGAATAATATAGCAAGGTTTTTAGTTATTATATAATTTATATACCTATAGAAAAACTGACATGTTTCCTGCAGTAGTGTAATAATACCAAAGAACATTACTTTCATATAAAAATTTGCCTGAGGAAGCAGCAACACAAGTTTTTGTATACCACGTCAAAAAACAGAGCATATTATCATATTGATGAGACCAAGAAATGTACTAACAGATGGGTCATGAAAAAAAAAAAGAGATCAATGCAACAACTTTGTATACCAAAGTTTAAAGTGCTAGGAATATATTACCGTGTTCTTCCTTGTTCACCCAATCTATTTTTAATATTCTTCTGTGTAGGTCTACATTTTAAATGATTCCAGTTATTCCAATGCTCGTCCTAACTTTTCTGTATAATCGGTATTTTTATTAACAATTGTACCAAGATATCTGTTATTCTTACGTTTTACTGCTGGTGCATCTCTCTTACATTTGAATAAATTTCTTTATTTGTCATAAATATCTAGTATATGCTCAGCGCAATTTTAGACCGCCACCCCTCCCCACTCCCTACTTACATAGATGTCAATTTTTCATTTTTATTTTTTTAGATGGGAAGCAATCAACAACATTTGTGTGTGAAAGTTCAATGACGTATAATATATAGACTCAGTGAACGCTTTAAAAAGTGTCCAAAACATGAATACCTTTGTTATTGTTTATTGTTTTGATACGAAGATGCACGAAGTTCATAATTTCTTACGAAGCATCACGAAGTTGATCTTGTGTTTGAAAACATCATGGACGTATGAAAACATTTTCTCCATTTTTGTGTTACAAGCAAATTTTATTTTAAATTGTTGAGAGTTATTTACTTACTATTTTAGTAAAATGCCATACTATTTTATCAAAATAATTAGTTCTCTTATAGACGGGAACAAAAAGAAATCATAAATATTTAATTTTAATTAAAAAAATAATTATTGTCATTCACATATAAATGAGCACGCCGCTGTTCTAATAAACATACCTTCAACCTTGAGCCGAGATCTTTCGGACACTCGATTCTATAGCGAGAATAGGGGACTGCGTAGTCTATTATACGTCATTGTGAAAGTTGGAGTACATTACCTAAAAATGCATTTTTTTTTCGAAAAAAAAAGCCTATAACTTCCGTTTGAAGCTGGCTAAAGATCAAATCTTTTTATTTTGTGTATCTGATTCAAAACTATATCTCAATTTTTTTTCAGATTTTCCATATGATGATCTTTAAAAATCCGAAAAACTGGGTTTTTTTAAGGTTTTGGGGGATATTCTTCATTTTGTAGACAAAATATCAAATCACGGTATTTTTATAGGTTATTTATATTCTAAATCAAATGAGGCCTTTAGAACATTGATAAATTCGAAGAAACACATATAAAAACCCACAAAAACCACGTTTTTCACGGTTTTTAGAGCATTAATCACAAACGTGAAAAAATGAAAAAAAAATTGAACTCTAGGAGTGAAAGTACTTTGCCTATCTTAACGGAGTTACCCTTTATTCAATTGTTCAATCCAGAACTTGTAAGAATAGCTATAGATCTCGATTGAATGCCGAAATATTCGACAAAGGCCGTAGCAAGGGCTAGCGCAATAGTATACTGTTTAAGATTATCTTAAATGTGTGTCTAACAAGATTAATTATTCTTCCCTTTTCACAATATAAAAACATAATGTTAAAACATTTTTATTGCTAAATAAATAAAGAACAAGTTTGCAGAAATTGCTTTCTTTTTACTATCTCTTTATATACCTCACTACTTTTCATACATTTCTATTCTTTATTGCGTAGTTACATGGTGGTGGTATAAGTTTAAAATATTTTAGAAAATTTATTAGAACAAAATTAGTAGTAGTTGAGTAGTTCATTAATTGGCAACAAGGAAAAAATATAAAATATGCGTGTTAAAATTGTGACATATTTTTTGCTAATTTTTTTATTTGTTTCTAACATTATACATTTTGTTTCCATATAGGAGGACGATATAGAATATGATGTGAGTCATTAATCAGGTTTTTTGTTAAAAAACCTTAAGTGTCGTAAATAACTTTCACTATAAATGTTGTCTCTTACAAAAGGTCCGAAAAGTGACGTAGGTGAAGGGGAGTAAGAGCAGAATGGGGCAAAATATATAAAAACTACATTCTGTGTAGTATTTTGTAGTAAGAAAGAACTCCAACATGTGCCCAAAATAAATGAAGAACGTCTTATTGGCTATAACTAAAGAAATACATTGTTATTGGACTTAAAATTTTATCTAATAGAAATAAATAATAATAATCACAAAATCACACGACGAATATGTTATAAATTGGAATAATTACATAAAAAAATACAAAAAAGCACAAAAAAAAATAAAAAAAATATATCCAAAACATATGACCTTTTTATAGTTTTTGGTGAAAGTAACCAACTCTTTGAAATTGTATTTTTACATATTATAATAAAGGATGAATTTTTAATGCGACGTTTGTCAATTATTCCATTCCGGTACAGAATATTTAAAAAAGTTATTTAGAAAAAAGGTAAGTAATGATACTCTCTACGCTTGGCTTACATGTCGAATTCTACAGGGTGATCAAACTACGTGATAAACGTGATATTTTTTTTAATAGGACAATCTGTATATTTTCTAATATTTAAATTCCCCTCATAATCCTTGTTCTTACAATGTGAAGCTTCATACTACTATACAGAGTATTTAACGAGTTATGACCATTTTTCTTTCGATATGGATATTAAATAAACACTCTGTATATAAAGATATTTTTATTTCTCCATATTGTTTTATTTAAGCAGCCTAAGGCTCTGTTTGCTCTATTCACTTGATCTTCCACTTCGGTTTCGAACTTTCTGTAGCTAGATAATGTGATGCCTAGATATTTACTAGCTAAAACTCCATCACTTGTTCTATTATCTGACCTTCCAGCTCCAATTTACATCTTAGTAAATTTGCTGTTGTAACCATGCATTTTGTTTTTGGGGGAAATTAACATGTTAAATCTTCTGACGGTTATATTAAATTGATGCAGCATACGTTGTAAATCATCATCACTTTGAGAGAGTAGTATCGCTTCGTCTGCATAGCAGATAATTTTAAGTTGTTATTCTCCCATTTGGTATCCTTTTTTAGTTCTTACTTTTTTTTATTATTTCATCCATAATCACGTTGAACAATAGAGGACTTGCATACAGTAAGTGGATAATGTCTTTTAATTTGACCCGGTCAATTGCCTTTGTGAGGTCCGCGAAACATAGATATGCCGGTTTGTTGTATTCTAATGATTTCTCTTGCACTTGCCTCATTATAAATATAGCGTCGGTGCATGATATTCCCGACCTAAAACCTTGTTGTTCTTCTGCTAGTGTTATAATTGCATTCAATTTATTTTTTATCACCTTGGTTGTTAATTTTAGTGTTGTGTTTAATAAATTAATTCCTCTGTAATTTTCCGGGTCCGATTTGTCTCCCTTTTTAAAGAGAAGTATTAGGATGCTTGATCTCATTCTTGAGGAATTCTATTTTGTTCTATTATTTTTTGGATTAGTTTTCATAGTTGTTTGGTCAGATCTGGTCCTCCGTACTATAGGAGTTCGTTCGGTATTCTGTCCTGTCGTGGTGATTTTTTATTTTTTAATTTCCTTAATGTTTCCTTTACCTCTTCCTCCTAAATATTTATTTCTTCGTTTGTCGTCACCTCTCGTGTTGGTGGTTCATCATCGTCACCTTTAGCAAACAGGGAACGAAAGTAGTCTACCCATGTTTCCTTCTGAATGTGTTTCGTTTCTCTGTACGCAGTATGTTGGAGAGTGGGCAAACTATTGACGCTATTCGATTTTTCTCTATATAGAAAAAATAAAAAAGTATCTAGGTTGTCATTAGGTAACCATCCTTGCGAAACTGGGACGGGCAGCTAGTTTTTAATAAGTAAAAGGCCACTTGTATGAGTTAACAACAATAAAACAGTTGGTTTTGAAAAAATGATAGCTTTTATATTTTTAATCGGTCTGTATGGCTTGTTTTTAATTTGATTTTTTTCCGTTCTGTAAATCGCCTACTTGCATCCAGAATACATCTTTGTATTAACAGCGATATCCTTTATGGAGGAAGCCAAAAATAAGAGTTTTTGAAAATTTAATGAATCGTTTTGTTCGCACTGGATCAGTTGCATATGAAAAAAATGAGAGAACCAAAACTATTATAAGTGAAGAAAAGGAATATGATGTAGTGTTAGCTATTACAGAGGATCCTCAGATTAGCACTCGTAAAGCAAACTTCGACGGCAAAAATCCTTAAAAAAACAACTTTCGAAGAGAAAAAGTTTTGCGCTGGAGTGTTTCTAGATATACAACAAGCATTTGATAGAGTTTTTTTTTCGATTGTGTGTTTTTTGGAGATCAGTCTACATTTCACAAAAACGGAACAACGAATCGGCATAATTTTCATTACTATCAATCATGCAATTCCTTCTTTTATAACAGTCATATTCAAAGCAGATGGTCTTTAATTCATAATCATCTAAATAATAATTTTCCTACAAGGTGGGTAGACAGAGGAGGACCAACTGTTTGGCCACTGCGACCACCGGAATTCTCCAAAATTGATTTTTTTTATG